CGCTACGGTCTAGAAGGATGCGGTCAGTGACCTCGACAGGTCACATATAGGTCCGGATAAGGGAATGGACGTTGATCTCAATGGTAGTTAATATACACGTGGTGCTCTATTATCCCCACAAACAGTGACCAGCAGTGGTGCCTATTGCTGATATCATTATAGATTAATCTCTAGATCAGATGTGCTTTGTACAAAACGGTTTCTACGTATATCTTATAATTTCAGCCCGGATAGTGCAGTTTTTTTTTCTCTTCCTTTTTTAAGCAGTGTGTATTAGCCTCGCCGATCACATTTGTGAGGTTCTGGAGTGAACCGGCGTGGATTAGACCTTTTGTTCGTCATTGCCTAAACATATTGTATGTGGCAACGCATTGACATGATTCATATAATTAATTATCTTCTGTACTATTACTGGGACAAATAATTATGCCATAGATCACTTTAAATATCCCCACAGACATTACACAATGTAGCTTTACAACACACAGTAGAAGCGTATCTAATGTAGATAATTATCAAATGATTCTTTAGCGTAGTGATTATTACTTCCGCACAACATTTACAAGGTCTTGGGTTTGATCCCCAGCTCAAAGATTCTTTTAAAAATATATTTGTTATTTTATATTTTCAGTTTTACTGTTCAGGCGGCTCTTTCCTCAACATATCGTCCAAGTATTAAAATAAGTAACAACAAGGTTATTGCAGCTAATTATAATAGGTAAAGTGGCAGCTGAGACAACCTATAGGCTAGACCAGTGATCCTCGCTGTGGGCGCTACCATCTCACGGGCCCCGTGTTGTGCTGGCTTGTCCGTGCTGGCTTGTCCATGCTGGCTTGTCCGTGCTGGCTTATCCATGTAATTTCTACTCACATACAGCAGCAGGGGAGGCAAAGATTAAAAAAAAAGAACGGGAGAGAATATTTTCTCTTCCTATCTCTAGCGAAGAAGGGCAACTAAATCTAGTAATTTGATAAATAAGACTTTAAATTACTTGGAATTATAGAATTTTTTTTTTGGGGGGGGGGGGGGGTGTAAAATATCATTTAAGTGAAAACGTACGGCGATCTAAACATACTGCTGGTTGCGTGGTGTTGGCGTCGCAGGTCGACCCAGTCTTAAATGGATAACAGGATGGCTGTCCTGGGGAAGTAAAGACGGCCGGCGTAATTCTGACCACATTACCCATATGGGGCAGATTGGTCTTTAAAAAATATGGGATGCTCTTCCCTTATGCCCGATGCGCCTAAGCCGTGAAAAGGGAACTTTACTTTTATTGTAAAACAACCAAATTATGAAGTTAGCCTTACGTTCCATACACTCGTGACTAGTGCACAGCTAATCTCATGAAGTCATTTGCTTTCATTTTAGGTAGAAACCTGTTTAAAGGTTACTTTAACCGACTAGAAGACCCAGACCCCAACACAGTCAACAGTTTCACCAAGGATGGATGGTTCAACACGGAGGATCTCGGTTTTCTGGATGAAGAAGGCAACATCTACGTCCTGGGCAGGGGCAAAGACACCATCACGTACGGAAATTATGTTTTCTACCCGGTTTGGCTGGAGGCAGAAATCCGTAAACACCCCGACATTGCTGACGCTGTCGTCTTGCCTGTAAGTGTCAATGTTTCCAATTCTTTCATTAATGCAGATACAAGCAGTATGTTAAACAACTTATTGCCTGCTTTTTTCGCCGTATCACGTCATGTGCTTTACAACAGGATCTATGTCAACATATGTTGAAGAACAAATATACATTCTGTCAACAGAAAGCTCACGATCAGATTGTATCTTATTAGATTGTCTAAGTCGAGGTTTTAACTTCATTGCAGTCGATACTTGCTCCGTTCCTATGCTAGTGAAAATCAGATGAAATATCCCTCATTGTCCCATTTGAACAAGAGCTGGTGAACAAACAATTAGTCCCGGCATAATCCAGAAATATGCCTTTGGTAGTTGCTAGAGGTGCCAAAGCCAACAACCGCCATCAAAAATGCATTTTGTCGTTGATGGAAATATACATATATGGCTCTCTACGGGCATTAGCAATGTCGGCGTGATTCACAGTCCGACCATCTGCCAGTAAAGCAGAACCAGTCACTATGTCAGCTCTTTCGTTTTCAACAAGAACAGTATACACTGGGAGAAGATAAAGATATTAAAGTTGCGCAATGACTCAATCCACTTTTTTACGTATAGGGCTGCCCGGTTCTCTAGCGTAGTTGGCAAAACCGGATTGCGCGGTGACCGGGTGACGAACTCCTTGTGGTCCGGGTTCTTTCCCGGGGGTAGGCAGAAAAGCCACATATTTCCCAGATTGACGGTACCTATCATGGAATCAAGGCCGAAAGGTTGCGATGTCCAAAGTACCGAGCCATAGGGTTAACAAACCATGGTTTCTGGATTTTTAAAAAAAAAAATATGGGGCTTGCCTCGACCACGTCCGGCTGTATATTGGTCCTGTTAACTAAATCACGGCACATTTTGGCTGACCCTAGAAAATAGGTTACTGCAAGCGTTTCCATGTTGCATTTTGTGACATTATAATATGCTTACAAACTTCTGTGTTTTGATTGTATTCGTATTACAAATCGACAAGCGGATATTGTAAAGTGGACATACAAGCTATTAGATTACAGCAATTTTAATTGTAATTCACGGGAGACAGTCGTTTTGTGATGTGTGTGCCAGTGTCACTGTTTCTAGTCAGTAGTTAGGATTTTTGGGAACTGGCTGTTTATTACTTTTCTACTTTAAATGTAGAAATCTTACTTTTAGGGATAATACAAACAGGTAATTTAGAAGCCATATCTGGGGAATATCGACAGTTGTCAGGTGCAAACTATCTTGTGTTTGAAGAAAACTATTGCTTTCATATTGACTGTGCATAAATGGTGCAACCACACTGTGGATAAATTGTGTCAAGATATTTCGGAGCTCTAGGTAAGTGGATGAAAATAATATTTAATTTACTAAATAACCTCTCACAGCAAGTCACTCTTTGCCTCTTTACTAATTGTTGACTAACAGTATAATTATATGTTGTAGCAGTACACTAATAATATTAATCCTTAACCATCTGACTTATGCTTCGCGAACACTGGCTGTAAACTCTTGCGGAAACTTCTGGTAGTTTATCCACTTTTTTTGCATATTTGCAGTTGTACGGTCTGTGGTAATTTTTGTAAACTGGCTTTTGCTTTGCTTCGCGAACACTGGCTGTAAACTCTTGCGGAAACTTCTGGTTGCTCATCGACTTCTTATGCATATTTGCAGTTGTACTGAACTGAAGGAGAAGGTCAGTCCATGGCTGGTGAATTGGGTTGCAGCTGTCCTGTATTCACGTCAGGTTACTCTCCAACTGTGCTCATGGACCTCATAACCATGCAGTTTGGCTCCAGGACCGCCATCTTGTCTGTGCTCGTTAACATGTATACGAGCAAGATTGCAAGCCTAGAAGCACCTGGAGTTGAAAGGATAATGACTTTTGCGGATGATATACTTGCATATAGGCAGGGGGAAGAGAGGGAACAAACAGTTCAGGAGCTACAAGCGCCAGTAGACAAAGTGACTGGGGGTGTATAGAAATATGGGCTGTCGTCCACCCGGAAAAAGGCGTCTGTTTTGTGGTGTTCTCTGGACAACAGAATCGTTAAAACTAATGTCCCAAGTCTCACGATAGATGCTAGAAACGTCAACAGAGAGAGCAAACTGAAGTATCTGGGAATTACATTTGACAGGACCATGTGAAGAGTGTTGTGACAAGATGCCAAAAAGGACTTAGCGCACTTAAGGCTATGCCTACAATTGACATAGAGCAGAGAATGCTTTTCACACTATACGAGCACCTGATCCTGTCAGTGGTTTGCATCCTTGAGAACATTTGGCTACCAGAGGAGTGGGTCAAAGTGCCACCTGAACAGTCAGACTTGTGTAGGGTCATAATCACATTGAGGCGGGAACGCAGAGACTGGTCAGCAGGTGCCACAGAGATGGATATTCAGCAATTAATTCAAGATAATGCTCGCTCAGAGGATTTGATCATTTACACAAACGGTTCAGTGTCAAGAGGCAAAAGAAGTACTTGGGGCTTCTTAGCAAAAGTTAATGGTGCAGGAGAGCCTTGCATATGATACCACAACATCCAGCCTAAGAATGGAGGTTACGGCTGTCACTGCAGCTTTCCGCTGGCTAGAGAACACGACACACACATACACATCGTGATTGTAACTGATTCAGAAAGCATGCTGAGGAACATCAGGACAGGTATGCTTCGTGCAGAGTGGCATGCTTCGCTGCGGAGAACACGAGTGAGGAGTATTGTCTGGATTTTTTTTTCACCAGATTATGCCGGTGTGTTGGGAAATGAACAGACTGGCTGGTTCTGCACAATTTGGTGGAATACTGATACATGATAGTCAGATCACCACAGTCTGGTGAGATTGATGCAGAGGGGAGTTACGGGAGTTTCCGGCAGATGCTCGAGGCTCAGAGGAAAGGCAAGACGGGCGCTTATTAATCAGAATGCTACTGGTACCATTAATATCGGAATTCTTCACTGGCTGCTGAAGATGGGGACGGAGCGCTTATGTAAATGCCCTGAGTATTGTGATATCGGTTGTTGAATCAAATCAAATCAAATCAAAATCTACTGACTCCACTGATAAATTACCTCAGTGCTTACTGTTGATTATAGCGGAAAGCTATGTGTACCGTATACTGATAGTCGCAGACAGCAAGCACATGAGACATCAGGAACAAGACATAGGGAATCTTTACCTGGGTGCGCCTAAAGCTTTCTGTTGTAACCAATCTCACTGAAGCCGCTGTGGTGTAGCGCAGAGATGCTCGCCTGCGGATTGGAAAGTTATAGGTTCAGATCCTGATGGTCCTGGACTTTCTGGTTTTCTTAAATGGCCTTGACTTTGAAGAGGTACAAGGTGGAGTCATGGGAATGGGGTACAAGGTGGAGTCATGGGAATGGGGTACAAGGTGGAGTCAAGGGAATGCGGTACAAGGTGGAGTCCTGGGAATGGGGTACAAGGTGGAGTCATGGGAATGGGGTACAAGGTGGAGTCATAGGAATGGGGTACAAGGTGGAGTCATGGGAATGGGGTACAAGGTGGAGTCATAGGAATGGGGTACAAGGTGGAGTCATGGGAATGGGGTACAAGGGGGAGTCATAGGAATGGGGTACACGGTGGAGTCATGGGAATGGGGTACAAGGTGGAGTCATGGGAATGGGGTACAAGGTGGAGTCCTAGGAATGGGGTACAAGGTGGAGTCATAGGAATGGGGTACAAAGTGGAGTCACGGGAATGGGGTACAAGGTGGAGTCATGGGAATGGGGTACAAGGTGGAGTACTGGGAATGGGATAGAAGGTGTAGTCATGGAAATGGGGTACAAGGGGGAGTCATGGGAATGGGGTACAAGGTGGAGTCATGGGAATGGGGTACACGGTGGAGTCATGGGAATGGGGTACAAGGTGGAGTCATGGAAATGGGGTACAAGGTGGAGTCATGGGAATGGGGTACAAGGTGGAGTCATGGGAATGGGGTACAAGGTGGAGTCATGGGAATGGGGTACAAGGTGGAGTCATGGGAATGGGGTACAAGGTCGAGTCATGGAAATGGGGTACAAGGTGGAGTCCTGGGAATGAATGCTGCCCACAATACCAACCAAGGTCCGATTGATCTAAAAAGTATAGGTCTGCCCTATATGCCCAATTGCCTGAGGGCGTAGAAAAGTGTCTTATACTTTATGTATATGTGTGTGTATGAGTGTGGGTGATTGTGTGTGTGTGTGTGTGTTTGCTATTTGTGTGTGTTTGTATTTGCTAATCCTAATTTGTGTTTCAGGTATCTGACCCTGTACGGTATCATGAGATCTGCGCATGTGTAACCCCAGTCAGCGGAAGTAACGTGACAGAAGACCAGCTGAAGTCCTACTGTGAAAGTATCTTCATTGCTGACTTGGCCAATGACCAGACGCCCATGCCCAAGTATTTCATGGTAGTGTTACATTTGCCGAAATTGTTGCATGCATTTTCCGAAATTAGTTTCCAGATGAAATATTTGATTTGTCTAACTATAATTAGCAGACGCTCTGTCGTTTTTAAAAAAAAAACGGACAATCAGGTGTGGAGATATTATAATTGCTCAGGTAACCTCAGTGGTTTATGCTGCATATATTAATTCTTTCTAAAATATTTGATTCGAGTTACAATATTTTAAACGAACTATTCAAGCTAGTTTAGATACGATATTTTAGAAGTGCCTAACTAAGTTCAGAAGAAATGTTTTAAAAGTATATATGTTTATTCAGAGATGATGCTCTAAATGTAGCTAAGTTAGTTCAGAAACGATGTTTTAAAAGTACCTAAGCTTGTTCAGAAAAGATGTTTAAGAATATCGGCCTAAATGAGTTCAGATACTGTTTATCACAGGTGCTTATGTTTATTTAGTTTCAGAAGCATTAGAAAATATATGTATGAATAACTGAGTACGTAGCTTATGTCAGGATCATCTGTCTGCCGTTTCCAATGCGCTGTATAAGTTGCTCTACACTTCGTTAAGGCTGTTCTTGATGTTGTTATTTCACTCACCCCCTCCCCCGAATCTCCCATTGCTCTGTGCTCTTTATAATTCTTGTATTGCTCTCTAAGTAAGTTTGAAATAGAGAATCCTCTTGAGACGGCCAAAATATCTTTATTGAATTTTATTTTTTGGATCCAGTCCCAGTGTTTTAATGTCCTCGTTTCAACGTTTAGTCGTCCTTGTTACTTTGCAATTCTTCTATAGCCTTTCTTTTTTTTTTCTTTATGTCCCCACCCCCTTCCCGTTAACTGGTTGTAATAAGGAACCATTCTAGGTACAAGTAGCACAATGCATTGCAAATATATTGCATGTGAGATTTGCCTTGATAGACAATGATCTTTGAATGTGTCAGCGCCTCTTAGTTGTCCAAGTATCTATTTGCTCTTTAACATCGTATGTTGATTTCTCTAACCATTATTTTATCTTAGATGACGATCTAGTATGTATAGATATATAGATTCACTTGTTTGTTTTATGTCAGTGTTATTTTCAATTAGGTAATATCATTTCTCGTGTCCACCTGTTGTCTCTTTCTTTTCAAATCTTTCTTTTTTTTCTTTTTTTTACTTTCTATAACTGTCGGTAAAAAAAAACTTGTTTGTGCTGGTACAAGAGACTTTTGTCTATTTCTGCTACTGATATTTAAAAGTCTGCAACAAACACCCTCTGTCTGCTTCTGTACATGCAATTCAATGATGATAGGAATCAGTTTTTTTTAAAACGGTCTTAAAACTGTTGTTTTTAGACGAGTAACGCTCAAATAAATAGAAAGCTATGTCCTGTGTACATCTGTTTTTCGTTCTCATCTGACAGGTCTTGGACAGATTTCCAGAGACATTTACCGGCAAGCCGGACAAGCAGCGGTTACGGAAACTCGCTGAAGAGAGATTTGGGGTTAAGTGAATACAGTGTTCAAAGAACATGAGCCCAGGATGTCAGCGTGTGGAGACAAATTTAACCACAATTTCTGAATTATTGTATATTTCATTATCTTCCAGTTTGAAACATTCAACAGGTTGATTTGTTATACTGCTGCATCCTTTGAGATAGTTTTCTTTAAGTGCTTTAAACATTCATAGAGCATTATTCATATATCGACGTTTGTTGTTAGATAGTGTTTCTCTAGGTGGCTCATACAATTAGGACACACTCAATTATTATTTTGAATCCATCCTTCCTGTAGCAGGTCCTTTGCAGAACGTCGCTCTTATCACGGTCTGCCTCAAAGAAACTCGGTCTCTCGCCAGCTCTCCCGCCCCATGTACTTTCATACTCAAGGAGTCACTTATATCCTGTGCCCATCTTCGCGTCGGTCGGCGCCTGCCCCTCCTTTCTGGTACCATGCATTCTGCTATAATTTCTATCCAATCCACCTTGGCGCTTGATATGACCAAAATATTTCAGCTTACGAAACAGGATGCTGTTTATTAGCCAATCTTCCTTGATGTTCAGATCTTTCAAGATGTCTGTATTTCTCCTCTTCTTTGTCCAAGATATTCTGACAATCTTTCTATAGCATTTCAGCTCAAAAGTCCCTATTTTCTTTCTTAATGACTGGGAGATAGTCCACGACTCACATCCGTATGTAGCCACAGGGAAGATGCATGCTCTCAAAATTCTAATTGTGATCTCCTTGCTGGTGCTTAACCAGAGACTTTTAAAGTGTTTAATCTTTGCATTGCTATGACCATCCTCCTTTTAATTTCTGTCAAACTGTCTCCATTTTTGTTTATTATAGAGCCTAGATTTTCAAAGTTTGTCACATTTTCAATTTCTTCATCATTTATTTTTTTTTTTTTTTTTTTTGGTGACAGCCAGTTTTATCTGTGTACATTATTTTCGTTTTCATTAAATCCAAGAACAGATTTTGATCTTCACTATGCTTTTGGACAGATAATATAAAATTTTCTATTCCCTTTACCCTGTTAGAAAGGAGGACTGTGTCATCTGCGTACCGAAGTTCCGAAGTAGGGTTGCCACCAATTTTGAGCTGATCATAACTGTCACAAGTGTGGTCATTTTTGACATTTCTCATTATATTTTCTGCGTAAATATTGAATATGTATGGTGAGAGAATGCACCCCTGCCTCACCCCCTTGTGCACCTAGAACCAATCCGATGTTTCACCAGCTGCTCTTATGGCTGCTTGTTGTTTATGACTAAATGCGCTGGAAACCCCATACTTTTCATAATAGTCCACAGTTCGTGGTGCTGGACACGATGAAATGCCTTGCTATAATCAATAAAACAAGAATAAAGATTTACGTTGTATTCTTTGCATTTTAAAAAAATTATTCTCATATTGAAGATGTTATCCCTAGTTCATCTACCCTGTCTGAAACCCACTTGTGCTTTATCGAGCTCATATTGTAATTTATTTTCAATCCTCTTCATGATAATTCGTAAGAGGATTTTGCAAACATGACTTAATAATGTGATGGTATGGTAGTTGGAGCATAGTTTCAGATTTCGTTTCTTTGGGAGAGGGATATATATTGTTCTTTTCCACGCTTCAGGCCAAATGCCACTGTTCCAGATCTTCGAGCACAATGCATGGTAGATTCGGACGCTGACCTCTCCTCCTGCTTGAATTAGTTCTGCTGGTATTTCGTCGCAACCTGGTGACTTTCCTTTCTTCAGGCGGTGTATTGCTGATCGTACCTCACCCAGTAAAGGCTCTGGTTCTTTGTCATAGCTTTCATGTTTTTGAATTACTTGTCACATCCTCATACATTTCTCTACAGTATTCTATTGAATAGTGAGTCCAAATCTGGAAAATGCATTATCATTGTGGATAACAGAAGTGCAATCCAATAAACATCTCTTACTGGAAATGACTTCTACATGTGAACGGCAAGCTACAACACATGACCTATACCAGCGAAGAGAATGCAAGAGACACTAACCTAACGAGTTTTTAAAATCTATTGTCATGTTACTACTAAAACACTGCTGTCACAGTTCGCGAGAAACTCAGTTATTATATATATATATATATATATATATATATATATATATATATATATATATATATATATATATATATTGTGTGTGTAGATAGAATATACTACTTGAAAACAACAGGCTAAAAACATGAGGTACACCCAGAAAGAGACAAATAGACCGAATAAAAAAAAACCCTAATGGAACACAGTGTGATATTGACACATGATACACAACCGGCTAAACTATGAAAACAGTGTTGCCACTTTTCTTCGACAGAAAACATCTAGAAATTGGTCAAACAATATCTAGAAATATCTACATTTGCGTGGGAAACATCTAGAAAAAAACATCCAAATGAAAAAGACCAAAATTACATAACATGACCCACCATTTAGAATCATGTCCTCATCTTTAATAATATCTGCCTCACAAGATTCTCATGATAAGCTTAACTTGGATGATGAAGATGAAGCTTCAGCTCAAAAATGACTTCATATTTATTGTTTCAAGTTATAACTCCACGTAATATTGCCAGTCTGTGGATAGATCAGATAAAAAAGGTTTGTGCAGAATAGAACGCTACGATGTGTCAGATATATTAAATTTTTTTATTACTAGCTGTACCCAGCCACGCGTTGCTGTGGCCCAGAATGCTGAAATGAAGAGGTAAGAAAATAGCTCTCAACTAACAGTGTCTGTCACATCCCCACCCCCCCCCCTCCATCTCTCCCCTCGACCCAGTCATATCCCCCTCTCCCCGAAGGAATGAAAATCATCCATGGCGAAATTATAAAAATAGAAATGGTTAAGAAATAAGAACTTTAAAAAAATATTTTAATTTCTCTCAGCTAACTGTGTCTGGCATAACCCCCCTCCGCCAGTCATATCTCTCTCTCCGAAGGATTGAAAAATCATCACCTGGCGAAATTATTAAAATAGAAATAGTTTTAAAAAAAATGAGAACTTTAAAATAATATTTTAAGCTCTCTCAGCTAACTGTGTCTTGCATAACCCCCTCCCCTCCCATCCCCTCCCCTCCCCCAATCATATCATCCTCTCCGAAGGATAGGAAAGTCACAATGTGACGAAATAATGTAACTAAATTGAGTTTGGCATCCGTGTCCACCCAGACTTAAATAGGTAGCACTATAGGAATAGGAAAAAACTCCACAGGGGAGCAAGTACAGCAGGGATCTGCCAATCGTCAGTAGAAGTAATCTCTCGTCGACAAACGTTTCGGCCCACGAGCTCCTAGACGTTTTCAGAGAGTGGGCCTACCTGAGTTCATGAAGCTCAGGGTTGGTTTCCCTGCTGCACGAAATTACCGGATGGTGTTCGGATAGGGACAAGACGACTTGGTGATTTTGCAAAAGGTACTGTGAGTTAAGAAGTCGTCGCGGTAGCATAATGAGAGCAGCGTACCTGGACGACCGAGCGACAAGCTTACGATTGGTATACCAGACACATGCTGGACTTTTGTTAGCAGGTGTCAGAGGAACACTGGCAGACAATTCGGACACAATGGACTTTTAAGGGATGAGAAACTCTTTTCCACTAGACACTCGGACCAGTTCACAGTGGCCCGTCCCCTACGTTGTTTAGTTGCGTCTAGAGCCAGCTCGAGGCCCTCTCAGCAACCTCGCCCAGCTGTTTAAGTGTCCGCTTGCGTTCATTACCGCGCAATCCTAGTTCTTTAACCACATTGTAGAGCGAAGTGGAAACGAGGCCTCTCGCTCCCACTTCGACGGCAAAGACTCGTACTGTGTACGCTTCGTCTCTCCTCAGACCGACTGCTAAGTCATAGTATTTCTCGAGCTTATACATATGGCTTTCGTCCATTCGCGACGCATACGGGACGGTCAGCTCAATCAGGATGAGCTGCCGTTTCTCCGCAGAGTGGAGAACTATGTCAGGTCGCAGGCCGGTATTCCGAATTGACTCAGGGTACCTTTCATGGCCAGGCAGATCAACCGCCAGTAACCAGTCCCTCGCAGAGTCTAGCATAGATGGAGTTAATGCGTTTTTGTTAATTCTACCTTTGAGGAAACGTATGGGGACGATGCTAGGACTGGCCCTCGCGTTCGCCCGCATCCTAGCCAGGTCAACAACGGTTGCACCTTGTTGTGTCTCCAGATATATCGGCCTTGACCTATGGCTTTCCTGCATGCGGACAGAACGTGTTCTAGCGTCTGCTTCGCTTTGCACAGCGGGCAAGTCGGATCGTTTGTCGCAGACCACTTAACCATGTTAACACCTGTCGGTAATTCATCGTACGCCGAACGAACGATAAAGCTCAGTCGCAGCGGTGTCATTCGCCAGATCTCACCCCATGTGAGTACTCTTGGCAATGCGCTCTCGAGGTTGATCCAATGGCCCTTCTGTGACAGTTGGGCTGCTTTCTGAACCCTAACCTCGTTTTCGTTGTCCCTAACTTGTTGTATCACCATGTCTCAGCGTTCTGTGGCTGTGGCTTTGGACCACCAATTGACCTTCCCGTGACCTAGGCCTGCTTACAATATAGAGCCACGTCAGTCAGACAAGGCGGTGCACCAATCCACTTTCTTAAGGTCTTTTTTTTTCTCCATCGTCTCCACTGCAGTCATCGTCACTTCGTAGACTAACAGCGGCCAGAGGAGCTTTGGAATCAACATGAATTGGAGACACCATACCTTGAACTTCCCAATCAGCCTGCTACGCTCTATCGCGAGCAGGCCTGTAGCCAGTGTCTCGTGTATTCGCCGGGCCTCCACTCTATCTGATAACTTCGAATCGTAAACGCGACCAAGGCTCTTCACCGGTTCCTCCAGAACCGTCAGGATCTTATTCCTTGCCACCGTAAAACTGATAGCCGACACCTTGCCTTTAAGGATTGACAGACTCCTCGACTTCTGCGGTTTAAACTGCATACCGCTCCATTGGACCACAGCGTCCAATCTTTTCAGGATCGTGCGGGCAGA